TGGACTGCGCTATGTCTTTCCCAGACCCTGAGACCTACCTATCCCTTCATTTGTAAGTTATGCCACTAAATAAACCTCCCTTTTAACTACATGGAGTGGCCTTAATAATTTCACCAATAGTCACATGCTCTTATCATCTGCCCATCCTTATTACCGCCCCCCCCCCACCGCCACCAAATCCCTACCAATCCCTTCCCATGATTCACAGCTCTTGGTTTTGTTTTGTGACGTGTTTAATCAGGGCCGTGTGTGTGACCACTGGATTGGAACTGTCCATTGGATCCTGGTGGAATCACCAGTGAGCACACATCTGAAGGAACCCTTTACCCAGCATCAGCAATAAATAGTTCACAGTGAGAGATGGGACCCCCCCCAAACCTTTAGCATCACACTTTTGAGTGAGAGATTGAATGTGTCTGCCCCAGGTCAAGGCAGGGAAAAGAAGCCTTTCATCCACCCAGTTCAATATTGTACTAGAGTCTTAAGGACCAGTAAAAAGGAAGCAAAATGTTCACATTAGAAAGGCATAGGAGCATGGTTTCCAACATATAAAAATCTCAGGAAATCCATTAAAATCCTACTAAATCCAGGAAATGAATGACTCGGTTTGTTTCTGTTACTCACTCAGTCTCCAGCTAAGCAGCACTGTTTTGGAAGGGGAGTCAAGTCTTACTTAAGAAAGTGAGATTCTGCACAGAGTACAGGGTTTGCGGGCTGGCTCCGACTCCTACCCAAGTCACCATCTGCTTCTGGGTTGGCCCTCCAAGATGTGAGCCCACTGTTCTGCAAGCTCTTACCAACAGAACCACAGGCCACTGCCTAATGCCACACCACCCCTCCCTTCCCCTCAGGGACTGTATCTCAGCAAACTGTGAGCCACAATAGATCCTTCCCGCCTTACATTGCTACTGGACAAGCATTTGGTCACAGCAAGAAACAAAGTAACAATGCTCCCCGAGGACTCTTGTGCTGGAGGCTTGGTCTTCAGTGTAACAGTAGTGGGTGAGTGGTACGTGATTAGGTTATTGAGCTATCACCATTAGAAGAGATTAGTGTCTATTTGCCGGAGGGGGTTCAGGAGCCTGCGGAACTGAACTGGTCTCTATCAGAGCAGACTGTTCTCAGGTAGCTTTTTATCATCATGTGACCCTCTCTGTCTCTCTCATGTGCTCGAACCATGTGATGTCATCTACCACAAAACCCTAATCAGAAACCAATGAAGTGCCCTCCAGGATTAGCAGCTTTAAGAAGTACTTAACTCAGGTGTTTTATTATAGTAGTGGAAAAAAAAAAAGGTATAAGTGAACTTGAAGGAGATAAAGCTGACATAAATAAATTAAGTATCTATTGTCTATCTATAAGTAATATGATTGTAAAATGAAATAAATAAAAATATTGTTTGCAATAGTTAGGAGTGAGTGCAAGTACTCAAGAGGCCAAGGCATCTTACGTTCCTGGAGCTGGAGTTACAAGCGGTTGTGAGCCACCCCACATGGGTGCTATGAACCAAATTCAGGTCATCTACAAGAGCAGTACACGGTTTTAACTGCTGATCCATCTCTCCAGCCCTCCCCTTTTAAAAATTAATTTTAAATAGTATACATAGTAATGGATTTCACTGTGACATTTACATACACATATATCCTTATAGATACATACATATTTCCTGAGCACAGGCTGGAGCTTGCTACAGAGATCAGGCTGATGTTGAACCCAGAGAGCTCCATCTGTCCCTGTCAGTCCTGAGACATGTACCACACCATGTTTTATCTTTCACACTCCTACCCTGCCCCTACTTTTGCTGGTCCCCTTTCCCATATAGACCTTCCTCTTGCCTCTGTGTGTGTGTGTGTGTGTGTGTGTGTGTG